TCTCAGGGGGAGGGGGGGGGTGAGGAGGAGAAAAATAGAGCCTCATTAATCTGAAAACCAGTGGTTTTAAGGGGCATATTTTGATGGAAGTCTGATCTCTGACCCTGGCCCCTGGTGATATGAAATTTTAGAGCTATGGCCTAAAACAGCATTGCCTCAGTTTCCTCATCTACTGAACAGGGCCAGTGATGCTGACTAATCAGAAAATGATGATGCTAGGAGAAAAAATATATATATTTCTAGACAAGCCCATACACAGGGAAGCATGTTTCTGGAGCCCACCCTTACTCCTTTCTTAGGAAAAAAATAAAGAAAACTCAGGCAGGGGCCAAAGTACAGGTTCAGAAGATCTATCTGAGGACAGGATGGGGGTCAAGACTCTGGTCATTTTATTGGCTACTCTGCTTAAAATATCCACTTGTCCCTTTTTTCCAGCTTTCAGAACCCCAAAAGCCTATATACAATTCTCAGATTGATGAATATTGGATGCAGGCAGATTTATTGGCTTTGACCTTTCTTGTTATACAGGCATCAGCTCTATTGTATTAGAAAAGCTCTAGGGGCTTCACCTGGGAATCTATCCATCATTTCTAATCATTGTCTCTACAGGAAGAACATTCCTTTTTCCAAGAACTAACAGCTAAAATTTTTTAGAAGATAAAGCCACTTAAGAGTTAGCGATATCAGGAGGCATTTCACCAGTGAGGACGACTGAGCGTGAGACTAAAGATGCCCTGGCTTCCCTACAAAGTCAGTGATCTCTCGGTGTCTGTTCGCGCGTGCTTTTTGTTGGCATAACTGTAACTAGCCTAACTGCCCGTTATCTATTTCCTGTTTGCCCCACACTGATTCCCACAGTGGGGGCACGAAGTTTTCAAGGTATCAGTTTGAGATCTTGTACAGAAATGACTCCAAGGTAAAAAAAATTTAAAAACAACCCCACGGCTTTTCTCACCACTGGTTAGAACACAGCTTTAGGCAGAACCTGCCTCCTGCACCCCACTACTAAATACACACTTCAATTCTGTTCTTTTTACTCCACTAGCACTTATTGAAATATTTAGTCATTTGGGAATATCTCCTTACTAAGGAACCTTCCAGCTCCACTGTCCTTAGTGGTTATTTAAATAATAGCCGCCTTATCCCAGAGGGCGGAGCTTAACTACCCCATCTATTCTCTACCACCTCACTTCTGTCAATGTAACCCAAAGAAGGAGGAAAGAAAGGATGATTGTGAGACAGGCTTTCAGTCTTAAGGGAAAGGATAATCAACAGTAGGAGAAAAATCTCATTCTTCTCTTGCCTTACTGCAATATTTAAGTAAATAGCATAGTACTATAGGATGGTGGGATTCAGTCTCAGCTGAAGTTGCAAAAGCAGAAGCAGAGACCCTTTAACTGCTCAGGACTCTTCACTTTACAGTTAATGAAGTTCTTGCACATCAGGAGAAAGAACCTCCATTGTTTTTCTGGGTAGGTTATGAAACTGATCCAGTACCCTTGGTCTGGGCTTCCCAGGTGGTGCTAGTGGTAAAGAACCCACCTGTCAATGCAGGAGATGCAGGAAAGGCAGGTTTGATCCCTGAGTTGGGAAGATCCTCTGGATAAGGGCATGGCAACCCACTCCAGTATTCTTGCCTGGAGAATCCAATGGACAGAGGAGCCTGGGGCTACAGTCCATGGGGTCACAAGGAGTCAGACACAACTGAAGTGACTTAGCATGCAAGCACCCTTAGTCTTCTATTTGGAATGAAAGATCAGATCATATCAGAGGACCATTAAGGATTGGCAGATAATATTTCTGCAATTGCCAGTGAGAATGGGTGGTGTAGCAGTCTTTACATACTGTATTCATGGAATATAATACATACTAATTAATTTGATGGAAGTGAAATTAAAATGGCACTCAACTGACCCCATAGAGCAGTTGGTTAGCCATTGTTTTGAGGTCATTGATGGCCCCTGAAGTTGAAGCAGGGTTATCTTTAAATCTGCCTAATGTCTATACTCACCATACTCTTGAATGTTTCTGCCTGATGACTTTGGCCAAATGTGGGAGCACATACAAGGCTTGCCTGACTATGGGCCTATAACCAGCAGGTTGGTTCCACTTGAGGGTTTGGACACACCCAGAAGGGCAGTGAGGGGAATGATGCTTCTGTTCTTCACTGATGGTGTTTTGCCTTCTATGCTAAGCAGCAGACACTAACTTCTTGAGGCAGTCCTCCTTTTCTTTTCCAGTCGAGAGTGGAGGGGAAGCATAACTATGGGGTGCATTTGGTTAAACCTGTGACCTTGGTGAATGGACACAGGGATGAAAATGCGGGGATTTCCCTAAGGGGAAATGCAACAACTCCCACACATTAGGAGCCAGACAGGTGTCTGACTCTTGACAAAGTAAAGGTATTTGGGAGCAGTGCTTTGAAAACATTGCATGCATGCTCAGTCATGTCCGACTCTTTGCAACTGCATGCACTGTACCCACCGGGCTCCTCTGTCCATGAGATTCTCCAGGCAAGAAACTGGAGTGGGTTGCCATTGCCTACTTCAGGGGATCTTCCCTATCTAGAGATCAAACCTGCATCTGCTCCATCTTTTACATTGGCAGGTGGATTCTTTACCACTGCGCCACCTGGGAAACCCTTTGGGACATTAAATTCACTTCCTTGTAGAATTGCACGGAAATCAAAAGCATGTGGGCTCTTATAGGACCAGATCACACATTCTTTTTTTTAAGAATTGAATAATAGCAAAGAACCATTACAATTTCTCATATGTCTATTAATACCCTTGCAAGATGCTCAGGTAGTAACAGGTGCTTGAAGATGGTAGGCATTTTAAAAAGACTTGTCAGATGAAAAGAAAAAATTAGCCAACTTATTGTAATGAAAAGTGTGTACTGGGCTGCTTCATGCATCTCTAGGGACTGATGTTTATAGAACCCAAAGCTTGGTATTCTGCTTTAGTCAAAGCTCTCATACTTAATTTTCTGTGGGTTTCCACATTTTCTTCCACTTGAAAGTTGTATTATTTTTACATGAAGGTAAACTCACGTACTTTTTTTTAGTCTCCTTGCCAGGCAAATGATAAATATCAACCCAGAGAATACGGTAACCATGACTGCCACTGGGATGAAGAGGGGGTTATAATCACTCTCTTCGTTTATTGAGATAGTCCTGTTTATTTCTGAAAGACAAATCAGTAAAGCATTTAGATGAGGCCACAAGCATTATTTCCTTAGTGCCTTTTCAAAACATTAAACTTTCTTCCTCCTTACATCTTCTAATAATTGTTCATTTGACGCTATTAGAAAGATGAGGAAACTGGCCTGGGAAAACACATGATGAATGTATGGCAGAAGCAAAGACTAAACTAGCTTTTCTGGCTCAATGCCTACAGAATCTCAATCTTCAGATTTGTGAGTCATAGAATTCCTGGGAGAGGTACCTAAATATTTTGGTAAAAAGTGGTCATCATTGTATTTAGCTCCATGATCTTGTTCACTGCCTAGGACTCAAACACAGAGAAGAGCTAAAAAGTCTAGTACGACTACAGAAAAAATAAAAGCCAGTGTTGAACCAGGTAACTTTTCAATCAAAGCAGTATTAAGGCTTTGAAGCAGCTGTGCAAACATAGGCACACACAATTCCATGCCAAGGACTTGCACTAATTTGTCTTTCAAATGCTGTAGTCCTACCATTTCCCTCTACTTCCTTCACAAATAAATAAAAGGACACATCTACATATCCTCTCATAAGGGTGAACTAAGTTCATGTGGGGACCTTTACTGAAAAAATACTGATACGAAAAAATTTATCTTCTGATACCACCAGTTGAAGAAACTTACTTGTGCATATTGGCACAGGGTCTCACTGTCCCTTATTCTTCACTTCACTTTGATGAACCCTTTCAAGATGTTTCCATCCCCACACCCAAATGTATAATCGAAAGGAGGTGCAATTCCCAGAGGATCCAAACAGAGGGCGCCTAGGGCCCGTAGGAGGGTAAGGAGGCAGACACCAGCCCAGCCTTTAAAGGAAACGCCCCCTAAGCCTCCTCTAAAGCCCCCAGGCCACCTCCCCAATTCCCTACTCCACTTCCTGGCCCCAGACCACAAGAGAGGTCAGCTTCTCTCTTAGCTTCTACAGATCCTACCACTTAAACACTGCTGCCGTGGGATGAACTGGGAGTAGCACTGACATATTTACACCACCATGTGTAAGTGTAAATAGCTCGTGGGAAGCTGCTTTACAATACAGGGAGCTGGCTCAGTGCTCTTTGATGACCTAGGTGGGCAGGATGGGGGTGGCTCAAGGGCTGAGAGAGAGGAGATATGTGTCTACTTAGAGCTGATTCAGGTTGTTATACAGCAGAAACTCACACAACATTGTAAAACATTTATACTCCAATAAAAATAAAATAGAGCCTTTAAAAAACACAAACATAAAAGAGTGTTTTCATTGGTGTTGTCTTGGGGCAGACATGGGTAACTATTCTGCCAGATGCTCATTGAACATGGGTTCATTTAGCTCCTGTTGCCAGGCGCTGTGTTAGGTGGAAGGTAGACAGAGATGAGGAAGACACAGTTCTTCTTAGGCACAGACAGATTCGGGAGGCATCAACTTTATGATAATTGAGAAGTATCCATTACTTTGGGAATTAGGTGGTCATCGGTGACTTCTGTGGAGACATTTTAGTAGACTGACAGAGAACTGAGGTTGTACTAGAACAGAAAAATGGATAAGAAATAAGTCAGTAGAGACAGTGAGTTTAGATGGTAAGGGAGGAGGAGTTGAGAACTGGCTGGAAAAAAAAAGCGATCACTGTCATTGATGGAAGAGGAAAGAGCAGCCAAGGATTTTATGGTAAATCAATGTGTATGATTTATTTTCAAGCTACATATGTCTTAGCAACAAAACTTAAAAGTTTAATATTTTTTCCCACCATCTGCTTATTCATCAAATACCTCTGTAAGTGTTGAACATATTGGGCCAAACTTACTTACTTTGACATATTGGACTAGGGCTGGACCAATTTCCAGACAATCCGCAAACAGTTTTTCTCTCCCCAGTTAACTCAGCTTCTTCTGAACAACTGAAGGTGCATGTGGAAGAAAAGCCGAAGTCGACAAGGGGGTGATTACAGTCCATGGTTCCCAAATTGGGTGCTGTTAGAGGCTCACATTGAATCACTTCAATGAAAAAAAAAAAAAAATCAGTATTTCTGAGCAGAGACCCTCTGTGAGGAACAGCTTTTAGCCAAACTGGGGAACCACTGACATGAATCTAGACATTTCTAATTTCTAGAAATTACTTCTGATGATGCTTCCAGGCTTTCTTTTCTTGAGAATGATGGAGAGTGGTGAGTCAGAGGTAGAATGAAGAGAACCCAGAAAGCCCATGGTGGGAGGGGAGCAGTGGGGCTGGGGAGAGGAAGGGAGAGCTGGCTGTTCCCCAGCCCTGGTAACTCTCTAGCTCTTCTGGGAGCACCATGCTATGTGGCCTTGGCCTCAAGAGCTCTTATGGTGCATTATCAACGAAGACAGAGAATTTCCTGCCTTTTACCTGTTCTAACATCAACCCAAGAAGTCTGAAAAACATCCCCATTCTCTGAAGCAAGTCCCTCAAATTTTGTAAAACTTAGCAGGTTTGTCAATTAGTTCTATGATTTCAAAAATGATTTGAATAGTTCTTTTGAGAATTAAACCACTTAAACTAGTGAGTCAAAAGCATAAAGGTTGAATATGTAACCAAAACTTCACAAGTTTAGATACCACCAGTTTTTTTCCCCTAAAGAGATGATCTCGGCAGTAAATAAGAAAAAAAAAAAAAAAAACCACCATGTTTCAAATGAAAAAAAAAAAAAATCAAGAGATTGTATGTTTGTTTTTCACAGATTTTACTATTCCCCTGAGATTTCATGGAGGAGGAAAGGTAAAACATGATTCTAAGAATAAACCAAATAAAACAATCAATAAAGACCTCCAACCCCACCACCCTGCAATAAGGAAATTGTTTGGTGTCAAGCAGGACACCATATAAAAATAAGTGTCGTTGAAAGGGAAGAAAACCAAAGTTCAACAGCAGTTCAGCAAGACTGATTATTCCGTAGCAATGAGAAAAATAAAAATAAAATACAAAATACAGTATAACCACACTGTTCTGCTGAAAGGCTCTACCACATTTTCTTAGTTTATAAATCCAGGATTGCCATGACAACGCCTCTGATATGAACATAGGCTCACCTCGACAGGTTGGTTCTGGAGATGACCAATTTCCAAACGGTCCACAAGTGGTTTCTTCAATCCCAATTATGTCTGTTCCCTTAGAGCAGTTGAAGGCACACTGCGACATGAAGCTGAAGTTTCCCAAAGGGTGAGTACAGGCCATGGTACCCAGCTCTGGGGCCTCCAGAGGCACACACTGAGTCACTTCAATGAGAAAAGAAAGCACGCAACAGAGTTAAGAGGACCTGATGACCGGGTCTGAATCTTAGCTCTGATACTTGATAACCAAGTATCTTTAAGCAAGGTGATTTAACCCTTCCAGCTTTAATTTCTTTATCTATAAAAGAGGGATCATGATAAATGTATTGACTTCCCAGAGTTTGGGAATTAACTAATTTAATGCAAGTCAAGGATTTAAAGTCTGGTTCATAGGAAGCTTTTAATGAAATATTAGCTAATCTGCATGCACACAATCTTATTATCTTTGGCATTACCTGGACAGAGAACTTTCAAATGTAGACAGGTTTAAGTGGGAATGACCAGCTTGGTTTGGAAACAGCTACCACATTAGAGACCCTAAGTATGCTAGAGTGTTGGAAGTAGGAGGTTCAGAGAAAGGCTGGGTATCCATAACTGTCTTCTCTACAAGAGGAGAAGATAAAAGCTTTAGGAAGCATCTAAGCCTGGATTCTGTCTTCACTGTCTCTAGCTCAGTTCCAGAACTTTGGTTCTTCTGATTTTGACAGTCCTTTGCAGAAACTGTGTCTACTTACTTTCTCTGATCAGTGGCATAATAGATTAAATTAAGATTTGAAATTCAGTCTTCATGTTTTAGGTCCTGCGACGTCATTTAGGCAAATATTGCAACTCTTGTGTCTTATTCCTTATCAAATGTGAGCCATCATTTTAACCTTGTTCTTAAGAGATTGATGAAGAATTAAAGAATGGATTCAAGAAATTAGAAGAATTTTAATATTTTCCATCTACAGTACAAGTCCAAATGAAAGTCACTTATGTTGTCCAATTCAGTTCATGCCCACAAGCAGGTGCCTAAGTCTCAATCTTACAGATGCAGTGATAAATAAAATACTGACTGATCTCAAGTTGCTGTCAGTCTGCCGAGGCATACAGACAACTAAATGGATGATTTCAACAAATGTCAGATAAATAAGCTCCCATGGAGCTATGGGAACACAGAATAGGGATGCTTAGCCTGTCTTGGCATCTGAAGAAAACTTCCGGATAGAAATGGTCCCTGAACTGTTGTCTTCCAGTTGAACAGGTATTTTATCCATGTGCAAAATGAGGAAGCCATGAGCAAGTCAATGAGCTACAAAGCAATACGGTAAGTGTGAAAGAGTACAAGCATTTTGATGTTAATACGGGAAGGAAAGAGGAGGCAGGGGATGGTGTGAGATTAGATAGAAAGACAGGTGCTAAGGCAAAAGGCCCCTATCTTTTCATCAATTTAATGAGTATCTACTATATATCAAGCATTATTCTATGCCTTGAGGAGTTCAGAGTTCAGATTTCATCCTATAGGACAAATGATAGGTAGAAATTAAATGGTGGATGGCCACATATGTGTGATGTTTACTCAATTTTTTTAAATTGATCAGACTGCCTATAGTATGAATAATGTATTTGAGGGGAGCTAATTTAAAGATGTGGAACTCAGCTCAGAAATTATTGCAGTAATCTAGGAGGGAGATAATGAAGGCAATAGTGTAGAGTTAACAAGTAGAAGACAAGTTGGAGAAACATTAAGTTATAAAAATGAGTAGTGTGTTACTTTGCATAAATGTAGGAGGAGATGAGAGAGTTTTATACCAGAGTACCCATATAAATGGTGGTACCACACACTGAGATGAGGGATACAAAAAGGAAAGCTGGCTGGGAAAATTGATTTTTCAATGTTTGGGGCATCCCAAAGATTATGTTTAGCATATTTGGAGTTCAGGACTGGAAATAGATTTGTCTGTCCAAAGCTCACATAGATGTGTGCATCCACAGAAGTTGCTTGGTTTGACCAAAAGGGACATGTAAAGTGAGAAGAGCAATGGATGAAAGATGGAAGATAAGAAATAGCAATAAATATATGGGCTTGAGTAAGTGTCCATGAAGAAACCCAAGGAGAAACAATCATAGGTAGAAAGAAAACCAGGGAAAAGTGGTATGATGGAAACCAAGACAGAAAACAAAGAATAAAATGTTCAAAAAGGAGTGAAATGGACATGCTGATGATATAAGAATTTTTTTTAATTTAGAAATGGAGTGAGTGTAAAGTATTAGATAGAAGTCAGAGCTTAGGAATTGAGTGAAACGAACCAGATCTGTTCCAGTTGGTTGATCATATAAATTTGTTTCGCTTTAATTCTTTATTCATTGCAAACACTGCTTTTTTCTTACTATAATTTTCTATTTTATGCCCCAGATACTTCAAATATAGTTTTGAAACTCCACCAATATCAATCAAAGGACTTGAAGTTTCTTTCAGTAGTGAGTTGACTAGGTCAAAGACTCCATGTCTTTCAATCTATGTATTCTTTCTTTTCTGTTTCTACCACCGTGACTCTGAATGATTTCAGTGGACTCCTAATGGTGCTCTCCATCATCCCATCTTCTCTCTTTGTTCTCTGGTCCATCTTATGCACTTCTTCTAGGATAATTGCCCTAAATGCTGGTGTTCAGATACTAAGTGTTTTCTCACAATCAAATAAAGGCTAGAGATTTTTATTAGGCAGTTTAGGAAGTCTTCACAGGCTTCCTACAGCATGTCTGGCTTTCCATCAGATTAAATTATAAGCATGTGTAATTTCCATTGTGTGCATGCTCAGTCGCTAAGTCATATTTGACTCTCTACGACCCCATGGACTCTAGCCTGCCAGGCTCCCCTGTCCATGGGATTTCCCAGAGAAGAATACTGGAGTGGGTTGACATTTCCTCTTCCACGGTATCAAACCCCCATCTCGTTTCCTGCATTGGCAGCAGATTCTCTACTGCTGCGCTATCAGGGAAGCCCATAATTTGCATTAGTTAACTGTAAATCCTTTATCTCTAATAGATTTGTCCTCATCCCCTAAAATGCCAGCCAATGTGTTGGATTTATTATTCTATTTTCTGGCAGATACTTATATATCATTATGTGAATTTTTCATTTTGGTCTTGCCTTTGTCATGATCTTGAGGATAAGGTAAAAAGGCAAGATGGGTGACTCAGCCTCCTAATGATAAATGGTATTGTTTCCTTCAGATTCAGAGTTCTAATGAACCCAACAAGCCCACTAGCTTATGCATTCCTTAACAGCAGGAATCTATCAGGCCGGATTCATTATTGTAATCCTTACAGCTTTTATTCCAATGCCAATGCTCTTGTGGCACTCAAAAGGACTTGTTGAGAAGTGAATTGAAACTTCTGCTGACTTGTGAAATCTTTATGTAAAAGTAACAATATTGTGCAAGCATGGCCTACTGATCAAAACTTCTCTTTTCTCAGAATGGCTAGTATCATTTTCCTCCAACCAACTTCCATAAACTATAATACTTTACGGGAGAAACAAAGAAACAAAAGCAGCTTACCAAACTGACACTCCGACCCGTAGTACCCCAAATCACAGTTGCAGGTGTAATTATTGATGACTTCCACACATTGTCCATGGCCGCTGCATGACCAGGGTTTACAAGAAGCTTTAAAGGAGTCAGAAATTATTTTTAGAAGGATACTTTTTTAATACTCCTAATCATTTCTTTAGATATAAGCAACTTTTTGGCTGTGAGTATTCTAACAAACAGGGAAAAGTATATTTGTACTTTCATACCATTTTTGCATAAAAACCATATCTTAAAATTTTTATTTATACAATATAGCTGTCATACAGCCATAGACATTTGTTTTTAGAATGAATTTACAGAAGCTTATACTCTGTAACATTTAGGGGAAACAGTGATATACATTAAAACTCTTAAAATTTCTTTTTTTTTTTTTGATGCAGTAAGTGGATTAAGTGATAACCTGAGCCCAATCACTTCTGTAGTATGTTTGGCAATCCCTTTCATTATAGAAAGTACTGAACAAAAATTAGAGAGTCTGAACTTACTAAATTAGTCCATACATGAGTGCTCAGTCATATTAAACTCTTTGTGACCCTATGGACTGTAGCCCACGAGTCTCTTCTGTCCATGGAATTTTTCAGATAAGAATACTAGAGTGGGTTGCCTTTACCTACTCCAGGGGATCTTCCCGACCCAAGGATCGAACCCAAGTCTGCTGTGTATTCTGCATTGGCAGGCAGATTCTTTACCACTGAACCTCCTGGGAAGAAACCCTGCTAAATTGGTGGAGAGTCCAAGTGAACAAGAGACTGAATGAATGTTTCACTGTTAAAAATAACTTGGAAAAATACTGATTACTTTTGAACTGTCACCATTGTCTCTACAGAAATTTTCACATACCACGGATAATGAAACACTGCAGAGTTTCATTACATAGAATTCTATAAGATTAGGGCTCCCCAGATGACTCAGTGGTGAAGAATCTGCCTGCCAATGCAAGAGATGCCAGAGAAGAGGGTTTGATCCTTGGGTCAGGAAGATCCCCTGGAGGAGGAAATGGTAACCACTCCAATAGTCTTGCTTGGATAAGCCCATGGACAGAGGAACCTAATGGGCTATGTAGTGCATAGGGGCACGAAGAGCTGGACGTGACTGAGCACTATAAGATTAGGCCAAGAAGGACACATGTAGCATCAAGTCGCCTACTACATGAGGAGGAAACAAGTGATGTGAGCCTAAGCTCTTGGCCCTCTGCTTCTGCTTCCCTGCCTTATTGTCAGGGACACTCACTGTCTAGCTCTTCCTCTTTACTTTCCACATGGATTTGTCATCTTAATGTAAACTGATTCAGGGATATAGATTTGGGGCACAGGGCCTAGTCTTACCCACCAGCAACACTTAGACGTGACAAGACTCAAGCTTATTCAGAGCACTGGCCCTATTTCAGAATGCCCCAGCAGCTGCTGTGTGGGCCCAGGGTCCCATGGGGTTGGCGCGATGGTTCTCTGCACTCTGCACCCCCTGAGAAGTGTGGCGCTCTGGTCCATCCCTACCTGTGTAGCAGAGGGCTGTCTTTGCTTTGTGGCAGGAATCATCATTCCATTTCCCTGAGTCTTTGACCCTCTTGATGTAGATTTCCACACAGTCCTCCTTACTCTTCCTGTTGTTGGGCTCCCCTTCGCCCCAGTTCTTTGCTTCTTCAGTGAGAGATTTGTTGGTTCCCACCCAAGTCCACACCCCTTCTACTTTCCGGATGCCAATCCAGTAGTAAGTACGACTGAAGGGAAGCGTCTTATTCAGGTATTCGATCTCTCCCTTGTTTTGTATGGCAACTAAATCTGTGTAATTTTGCCTGCAGAACGCTCTAGCCTTTTCCCAGGGCATGGGTCTTCTAGAATAATGGTAAGTCCAGCAATAGGTTCCACGATGTGCAAAGAAATCTGAAAGACATCAGTGTGAACTGTGTAGCCTCATGGTTATAGCTGAAAAGAAACTAGAACTAATCCAAACTGAGCCTGCCATTTACAGACGAGGAAGCTGACACCTCAGGAGGGTAAGTTACCTACCTGCTTGACATCGTGGAATTAGTCATCTGCAGATCTGAAGCAGAACCTAGAACTTCTAGTCCCAGTCACTTTTCACCATAATATGGAATACTTTTGCTCATAGCTCTATTTTAGATGAATTTGGTGGCTTTCTAGATTGATTTTCATAAACTAGTGTTTTCCTCAAAAATTATTTCCAGTAAAATTTAACCAACATATTTTAGAAATTCATATTTCTTAGTGGCTCTCAATCATTTAAAGTTAATTTAAGTATAATATCACATAACTCTAAAATTTACTGCCCACTCTTTTATTCTGGGATAATTTCCTAAAGACCAATATTTATGTTTCTAAAGGAGAAGTAAAATAAGAACAGGAATAATGGCATACTTTGAAGTAATCTCTTTTATGTAAAAAAGATAATGTTTTGCCATAAAAGAGCTGCTTCTGGGAAAACAGACAGCCCAAGCCTTATATACAAAATAGAAGAAGAACAATTTACAAAACCAGATGAGGTAGGATTATGAAACTGATTGTAGATTTTGTTACACACACAAAGATACTGAACTGATGGTGTTTAATAATTACATGGGTGCTTCAAATATGAGGGCTTTGAAGAAATCAAAACCAACACATAATTACATAATGACACTATAATAATACAGGCCATTCTAAGCATGGTATGAGCTAAGTGAAGCACTATTATAGCATAAGGTGCAAGTTTTCACAGCCATCACCATTTGCTGAGTTTTCACTGTGTAGGGCAAACACTATGGAGAAATACCAAAGAAAACACAGATTCAATTTTTACAGTTTCCTAAGGACTCTGAGCAAGGAATAACAGAGGCAAAGAATACATAATTAATCTTGATAAAATTAAACATATATAAAATGTACAGAGAACTGGGAAACAGTTATGATTAAGGAATAAATAATATTATAAAATAAACCCTGCAGGCGAGGGTGGGTCAAGGCTAGGAGTTCTCTGGGGAAGGAAATATTAAAGGTGAGAGGAAGAAATGAGATGTTTGTAGAAAGGGTAGAATTAGCAGCTATCTACCTAATACTTTTACCTGCCACTTTTACCTATGTACACTCAGTAGATATTTACCAAAAACTGAACATATTTTTTTAAAAAGCTTAGCAATATATAAAAATCATAACATACCACAACAGAGCATAATCCAGACCCACAGTTTAAAGACATTCCATAAGCCCCTCTGAGCATTTTGACATTTCCATGGACATAGCTGCAAATAGAACACAAAATTTTACTCAGATTTATACTCTAAATCACCATTTTACAGGTACCTTGAAGAGGTACTTACAAGTTTCTCAAAGTTCAAAGTATAACATGTATGCCTACTAACCTTGTCTGAGGTAAGAGATTTCTCAGACATGGGTGAAAAAGTAGAATTAAATTTGCCTCAAAACTGGTATATAGTTGATTTTTTTCCTCCTATTTTAACCTCAAGTTGCTATTGTTACTGTTCTGATATTTTTTTTCTACATTTCAGTAACTTTTTGTATCTGCTTATCAGCCAAGCTGTCAGATAAAGCTATGTGATATTTAGTACATATATTTTTAAAGTGTTCTTTAGTCCTTAATTGGAGAAGAAAATGGCAACCCACTCCAGTATTCTTGCCTGGAGAATCCCATGGACAGAGGAGCCTGGTGGGCTACAGTCCATGGGGTTGCAAAGAGTTGGACACGATTGAGCAGCTAACACTTACTTACTTAGTCCTTAATGAACTATTAATGTCTAGACTTAATATTAAAATCTCACACTTGACTATGATGTGTCAGTACTCCAAATTCCTAAAAGAATTAGGTAACCAAACAGACACTACTGAAAGAAAGGAGTTCATTTTTTCTCAACTAAACAGAAACACATTTTGAGCAACTCAAATGACAAGACCATAAATTTTCTTCACACCATTTCATCATATTTTCTGAAATGTATCAATTCTCAGATAGCACCAGCGTTCAGTCACAGGAGTGCTAATTTCTGCAAGATAGTAAGTACTTCTTCAGGAACCATCAGTAGAGACAGGTCAAGGAGAAGAAATCAGCACCCATGAGAAGAGAGATTCTAGGAGCACTTTTTAATTTAGACTCAGCAATTTTAGTTTTGGCTTTTTTAAACCAAAAATTAAATGTGCTGCTTCTTGTCCTTTGCCACCTGCCTCTGCATCCCAAGACGAGGTTCTATCTGAGCATCTGGACACATTTTAGGCTGAAAAGCTTACCATGGCTTTGCTCCGTCCTTTTGTAGCCCTTCGGCCTCTCAGCTCAGCACCACAGGTCTCTGGGTCCTTGCCCAAGGCTGGGTGTGCAGGGAGACTGCACTCACTGTCCCCAGAAAGGCTTACTTTCTCTCATATCTCTAACCAAGGCTCACATCCTCCCCTTCCCCTTCTTCCTCCCCTTCCCCCACCTCTTCTGCACCTCTTTCTCCACCCCTTTCCTAGTCTGCGCTCTAACCCCAGCCCTAAGCAAAAAAGAACCTCTGGCCCAGGACGTTAGTGCTGGATTTTCCTTTCTTCCCTCCTTTGCTCCTTCCCTCTTTCCTTCCTCGCTTCCTTCCGACCTCCTCCCCACCTTCTTCTCCCGCTTCTTCTTCTTCCTCTCCTCCTCCTTTCTCTTTCTCTCTCTCCTTTCTTTCTATAAGCATTAGACTAGCTCCTGGCTATCCGTGGTAGAGAGCCCCTGATAGTTTCAAGCACCACACGCTCAATATATTACTATTTTGGCCGGATTTATAAAGTCTCAAACCTCAGTGTTTGTGTGCTCGATTGTATCCCACTCTTTTCGACCCCATGAACCGTAGCCCGCTAGGCTCCTCTGTCCATGGAATTTTACCAGCAAGCATCTCCTTGCATTGGCAGATGGATTCCTTACCTCTGAGCTACGTGGGGAGGCCCTATTAAACTCCAGGAGAGCGAACCCAACAGACTGGATTAAGGGTAGCTCTTTCTCCTCCCTCTTTCCTTGCTCACCCCCTAGTGGACATTCTTATCAATGGCACCTCCTGAAGAGAAGCGATTCTAGTTTTTTGCCTTAGCAGGTGTCAGGGCCTACAGGTATCTTTGTATTTCTAGACCTAAGATGTAAAGGAGATAGACTGCATATAAAATCAGGACCCGTATAGTGGAGGGCAATGTAAAGGACGAGTTACTGACATAGATTAACATTTTAAAAAAGACAGTAACAACAACAATCGTGTAGAGCTCAACACTCCATATTTATCACCTTATTTAAACTTTATAAAGCTTAATACCACTGCTCTCCAGTAATTATATTAAATAGTACTGCTTAAAAATTATTATATCTAAGCAGTAATATTTTTCCAGTCATATTAAAACAATAATCCAGTAATTATATTAAATATTACTGCTCTCCAGTGGATATAATTATTATCCCCATTTTTAAAAGTCTCAGAGAGGTTAAAAAAGGTGCTTTAGTCACAAAGGTAGTAAGAGACAGGGCTGGGGCTTTGAGCCAGGGTCAGTCAGTTCTGGAAACCATTCTGTTGATGGTTAAGCTGCAATTCTGGAAGGAACCCAGAAGACATGTTAAAGTGGGAAACAACCTGGGAGCTAGGAAGACCAAGAAATGCCAGCGCTCCTGCTATATATACCCCCAAGACATGTCTAGACCTGTGTTTCTAAGTCTTTCCCTTCAATTCGCTCAACCCTTGTCTATCCAACCACGGGCATCCCCAGACACTGCTCTTGCCGAGGTCCTTCACTTCACTGAAGCCAAAAGCCAGTTATCTGTCCTCATCTTATTTGGCCCATCAACTCCTGGATTTCACTTCCCTAGTGGCTCAGCAGTAAAGAATCCACCTGCCAATGGAGGAAACTCAAGTTTGACCCCAGATTTGGGAAGATCCGCTGGAGGAGGAAAGGCTCCAGTATCCTCACCTGGGAAATCTCATGGACAGAGGAACCTGGTGTGCTACAGTTCATGGGGTCGCAAAGAGTCAGACATGACTGACCAACTGAGCACACACACACTCCTGCATTTCCTCCTACTTCCCTGATTAGTCCTTCTCTATTTTATTTGTTGATTCTCCCTCATCTCTCCAACCACCAGACCTTTGGAGTGCTCCACCGCTCACTGCTTTTTCTCTTCTTATTTACCTTCATGGACTTGACGATACAATCCAGTCTCTACACTTTGATGACCAGCTAAATGCTGATGACTTTTTCAAATTTATATCTCCAGCCAGGCCATCCTCGTGCCCTAGGAATGCTCCCCATTCCTAGCCACATGCCTACTTGATATTGCCATTTACTTCCTTAATAATCCTCTCAAACTGTACATGTACTGAATTGAACTTCTGAACTTCCATCATACTTGGTGGGTTCTTCCCACAGCCTTTCCCATTTCAGTAAATTATAACCCCATCCTTCCAGTTACTTAAACCAAGGCTTTGGAGTTAACTGGGACTCCTCTCTTTTTCTCACAACTCACATCCAATATGTCACCATCTTTTGGCTTTTTCATCAAAATATTTTCAGCATTCAATCACTTCTATTTTATTATTAATCCAAACCATCATCATCTCTCACCTATATTATTGTTGCAAAAGCCTCCCATCTGGACTCCATGTTTCTACTCTTTTCCTCTTATGGCCTGTTTTCAACAAAATAGTTTGTGATTCACTTAAAATGAGTGTCATTCGGGGGCCCATGCAGAAGCAAAGCTGGCCCCAGATTAGTGAATTCTTCTCCCACTGAAGAGCCTTTCATGGAGGGGCCACTTACAACAGATGAACAACAAGGTTAAGGAAACAAACAAGAGAAAATGAGTATCCAGAGACTGGCAATACAGGAAGCTATTGCATCCTTGGGACTGAAAACTCAAGGAGAGGACATAGTGTATCACTTAGGACTAGGACCCTGGGGAGAAGTCCCCCATCAGAAGATGTAGTAGAGGAAGGATGCAGCTGCTTCCAAAAACAGCACCAAAGAGGGAAAAGAGTGGGTAGGAAATAACCTGACCACTCTCTCTTCTCATTTTCTGGTTTCCTTTTGTGGTTGTTTAGTCATTCAGTCATGTCCAACTCTTTGCAAACCCATGGACTGTAGCCCGCCAGGATCTTCTGTCCATGAAATTCTCCAGGCAAGAAAACTAGAGTGGGTTGCCTGTTCTTTCTCCAAGGGATCTTCCCCGACCCAGGGATTGATCCTTCATCTCCTCCATTGACAGGTGGGTTCTTTACCACTGAGCCACCAGGGCAGCCTGCTGCCTTCCCTCTTAATCGTACCTTATGGAACCTCGAGGATATTACCTAGTTCCTTTATTTCTAGCCATCAGCTTTCTCCTTTATTTCCATTTTATGCTGCACTATTGCCAAATATATTTTGCTCCATAACTGGATATAAAATTTTTGCCTTCTGAGACAGCTCATTCCTTTTGTGAAAAGCAGTCCTGCTTCTTAGGATGAGCCCAAATCTGCTTTTGTTCATCCACTTCTTTATTTGTTCACTCAATAAATACTTGTTGAGTGTCTACCATGTGTCAGGAATAGGCCAGGTTCTAAGATTATAGCAATGAATAAGGTAATAAGTTCCTACTCCTAAGAAACAAAAGCTGGAAATAGAACTGCCATATGACCCAGCAATCCCACTTCTGGGCATACACACCGAGGAAACCAGATCTGAAAGAGACACGTGCACCCCAGTGTTCATCGCAGCACTGTTTATAATAGCCAGGACATGGAAGCAACCTAGATGCCCATCAGCAGACCAATGGATGAGGAAGCTGTGGTACATATACACCATGGAATATTACTCAGCCATTAAAAAGAATTCATTTGAATCAGTTCTAATGAGATGGATGAAACTGGAGCCCATTATACAGAGTGAAGTAAGCCAGAAAGATAAAGACCATTACAGTATACTAACACATATATATGGAATTTAGAAAGATGGTAACGATAACCCTATATGCAAAACAGAAAAAGAGACTCAGATGTATAGAACAGACTTGTGGACTCTGGGAGAAGGCGAGGGTGGGATGTTTCAAGAGAACAGCATCGAAACACGTATATTATCTAGGGTGAAACAGATCACCAGCCCAGGTTGGGTGCATGAGACAAGTGCTCAGGCCTGGTGCACTGGGAAGACCCAGAGGGATCGGGTGGAGAGGGAGGTGGGAGGGGGGACCGGGATGGGGAATACATGTAAATCCATGGCTAATTCATCTCAATGTATGACAAAAACCACTGCAATGATGTAAAGTAATTAGCCTCCAACTAATAAAAATAAATGAAAAAAAAAGAATAAAAAAAAAAGAAACATAGAATCTAGTGGGGAAGACAGATATTAAACAAATAATTATTTAATAACAATCAAAGAAAAGAAGAAGAATATGGGCTACGAGAGCATTAAAGAGGGGACCTGGTCTAAGGAGTCAATTGTCATGAAGGGAAATTTAAGCAGGGAACCTGAAAGATGAGTAGGAATCAGGGACGCCAAGAGTAAGGGGTTTCTAGATGGGGAGGGGGAGTAACAGCGGACAGAAGCTAGTGTCTCCAAAACAGGCAGAAAGAGTTCTCCATTGTGGATGGAGTACAGTTCCTGAAGCGCTCGTGTGAAACGTGGCTGGGAGGTGAGCAAAGACTAGATTTGTGTGCCTTTTGTGTCAATGACGCGGAACCATAGTACACCCCAACAGCCAACTGAGAACCTAGAAGCTAATGAGTTTGTGGGGATTTCATCATGTAATCCAGGGGTGGTAATAAAGACCCATTCTGAGCACTCTCAGTGGGAATCAGCTGATGAAAGCTATTAAAATAGCTATTGATAGGATTTTGCACTATTGGGAGATCAAGGAAAACAAAACATCTCCTTGATTTTAGACTTTAACCCTATAAACCAACAGCATGACTACATATGTGCATAACTAAAGAGAGAAATATTTTAATGTCTCTTGGCTTAGAATCTTTTGGGAGAGGGCAGTTAAAGTTTTAAGGTAGAAACTATATTTTTTACTGAAAGAGGACCATGAGCTCTTCCTGCTTAGGTAGATTTTTGTTTGCTTTCATTAAACTTCTTTTCTAATCTTTTAATCTGCTGACACCAAGAATTGTTGCACTTTGCACTACTCTGTGCGCTATACTTGTCTATGTCCGTTTGACTTGGGTATCTTTTGAATACATTTAATTTGTTCAGTTTTCTCTTTGGGGGAACCAGGGAAAGCTAATATTCCTGCTTCCTCTGCATTTCTAGCTGATATCTCAAATGTGTGCCCATTTCAGTCCTACATGAAAACATCCCTAATTAGCAGGGTCTATACTTGTTTTTCCCCTTTTCTTTAATTTTATCTTAAGTAGTACTTTGAGCTAAGAAGAAGTATAAAATCAAAGTGAAAAAAACTTTAGCCTGTAACAATGTTATAACCACAATTTTTTTTTAAGTCTGGCTAACCAAGCCAAATATTAAACCCTGTTTTCTTAGGAATTTCAGATGTTCCAATTCTTTGATAACAATGAGATTCACAAGGTGGTTTTTAGCTTGGTACACACAAAGCATTTTGTGTTGACACTATTTCAGCAAAGAGAAGGCACATGTTCTGTGTAGGAAAAACTACTGTCTCTAACCCTGGAGAATAACTGAATCTGGAGGATAAACCAAGGTGAATTGGTTGACTTGAGCAACCTAGAACTGAGGCTAGTATGATGTACAGACTCCACAAGTTTTTGTTTCATTGCATTTAATGATTGTTTTTAGATTATTAATATTTTTCCAACAACTGTACAGCATTGATGCAAAAACCCATATGTATACTATTTCATACACACTAGGATGGTGATAATCAAAATGACAAGCAATAACAAGTATTGAAAAGAATGTGGAGAAATAGGAACCTTCATACATTGCAGGTGGGATTGTGAAAGGGTGCTGCCCTTTTGGGAAACAATTTGGCAATTCCACAATATGTGAAGCATGAAGTTACCATGTGACCCAACAATTCTACTTCTGGGTATATGACCAAGAGAACTGAAAACATAAGTCTACTCCAAAACTTGGGCATGAATGTTCATAACAGTGTTAGTCACAATAGTCAAGAAGCAGAAACAATCCAAATGTCCATCATTTGATGAATGGAAAAAGAACATGAGGCATATTCCAACCGTAGAATATTATTCAGTAATGAAAAGGAATGGAGTACTGATACGTGGTAAAAAAAGAAAAAAGGCTGAACCTTGAAAACATTATGCTAAACAAAAGATGCTAGACATAACAGGCCACAAATAGTAGGATGATTCTATTTTTATGAAATGTCCAGAAAGGTAAATTTATAGAAGGAAAAATTAGGTAAGTAGTTATCAGGGCCTGGGAAATATGGAAAGTGACTACTATTGAGTCCTGGGTTTCTTTTGGGGGGTGATAGAAATGTTCCAGAGTTAGATAGCAGTGATGGTCACAGAATCTCATGAATATACCATAATCCATTGGATTTTATATTTAAAAACAGTGAATTTTATGGTATGTGAGTTTTACCTAAGTAAAATAGATTTTTAAGAGCCATTACACAGGATAAATATAAACATGTTTATTATCAGACTTTACATGTTTGTAAAGTTGTGTACAATAAGTTAATTACAATAGTTATTAAGTACAATATTTGTGTATTTGCTAAGTACAATATTTGTGATTGTAGACATTTGTTGTTTAGTCACTAAGTTGTGTCCGACTGTTTTACAACCCCATGGACTATAGCCCACCAGGCTTATCTGTCCATGGGATTCTCCACACAAGAATTCTGGAGTGGGTTGCCATTTGTTTTTCCAGGGGATCTTCCTATCTCAGGGATCGAACCCACATCTCCTGCTTGGGAGATGGATTCTTTGCCACTGAGCCACCTGGTAAGCCCAGGTATGATATAAGCTTAATAAATACATACTTAAAACATTTAAAATCATAACTTAAAATACTTGTACTGAATTAAGACTTATGGCATTTATACTATATTCAATGCAAGCAAAAAGAATGCAACCTCTAAAAGCACTTTAGTTCTTAGTCGTTCAGTAGTGTCCTACTCTGCGACCCCATGGACTGTAGCCCACCAGGCTCCTCCGTCCATGGGATTTCCCAGGCAAGAATACTGGAATGGGTTGCCATTTCCTTCTCCAGGGAATCTTCCCTACAAAGGTATTGAACCCACATCTCTTGCATCTCCTGCAGTGGCAGGCAGATTCTTTATCACTGTGCCACCTAGGAAGGTAAAAACACTTTAAAAAACACTGAATCCCACAGGGATCAAAGTGATTGAGACTGTACTTGCTGTGCTAAATAGAATTTCCACTATTAACAACTTTTCACATGTCATCACCCCGTGGCATTAAACTTTTGTCATTTTCCCCCAAGTCTATTAATAGAATATCTATGACCAGTTTCCTCTACTTGACAATTATTATTCCTCCCCATGACAGCAAGTACAGAGTCAGCAGCTGAAACACCATGAGGGACAAAAGAAAGAAACAGTGCCACTAAATATTGTATTGCCCCACAAAATTTCAAAGTGAGTGAAGGGTGAGTTAGGAAAGGAATTCTGAGATTCTAGACCCTTAGTCTCTTTGCTTTTGCATGGACAAGAATATCCCTTCCTTCCAGTAGCCAGTGCTGGAAAGGAGAGAATTGTCTTTTTTGCTGGCAGACTGGACTTGCTCGTTGGATTTTGTCCACTGAAGTCCTCATGGGTACCATGGCCCCACCTGTAAATGTAGCCAGTGGATGCAGTAGGAGAGAAGAGCTGGAGACCCAAGCAGACCTCTCTGTCTCTGCCATCTTCAGGGTATTGCTCTCATTCCCTAATTTGCTTGTGCTCCTGCAATGAGAGTGCATGACATTAGGATCCTTAACATTTTGCATACTAACAGCAACAACAAAATTCCCCTTCTAGCACAGACAACTGTGTGTACTCTCACAAAGCTAGCCCAAATATGAACAGCAAATATGAACACTGTCCTATTCAGTTGGGATAGTGAAACTATTCTGTACAATACTGTAATGATGGATACATGTCATTATATATTTGTCAAAACCCATAGAATATACAGAACCAGGACTGAACCCTAATGTAAACTGTGGGATTTAGTTAATAATGATGTATCAAAACTGGCCCATCAATTTTAACAAAATACCATACTAATGTAAGATGTCAATAATAGAGGAAATCAGAGGGTATGAGGGAGGTGTGTTGGAACTCTGTTCTTTCTACTGATTTTTTCTGTAAACCTAAAACTGCATACATAAAAATGTCTATTAATTTAAAAAAAATCTATTCAGAGGCGACTTGAACCTTCCAAATTCTCACAAAGCAAAGCAGAGTGTTTTTCAGAATACAGATTTTAGAGCCATACCACCTGAGTATGATTCCTGACTATATAACTTAATAGTTTTGAGATTTTAGGCATTACTCAACTTCCCTGTGCCTCATTTTCTTCATATATATAATAATAAATACAATAGCCCTTATCTCATAGAATTCCTAGCTTAGAGTGGTTCCTAGAACATAGTAAGTGCTATAGAATGGTTAAATATCATTATTATTATTAATTTTCATAAATGAAATTACTCAATGAAGGCAAGATTCTTGTTCCTTTCCTCTCCTACAAAAAGAAAGAAAGAAAGAAACAACTTTCCATAAAATAACACCAAGGTGGTGATTTCCCCCCTAGAAACTAGCAGGTTTGGAGGGTTCAAAGAACAATAGAATATGTGGAGAACATGTCTTTTTTTCAAAACCATATGTGATTTTCAAATCTTACCTGATTCCTTTGGACTTAAATTAACTCAGAAGGTGCTGGGTAGCATCCATCTGATTTCAGGCTTGAGCAGCTGCTGTGGAACACATGAGAACACCAAGGTAAAGCATTGGTTTCCAACATGAAGAGAAAAATGTGTAAAATGTTCAATGGCATGCTTTACATTTAGGTTGGTACCAAAGTATTTGTAGTTTCGGACTGTGAATTTTAAATCATAACTAGGCTCAAACACATCATTAGCAATCGAAAGAAGAACCATTACAATCAACGTGTTTTTGCCAATGAGAAATAGGTTGCTCTAGTCCTGTAGCATAAAAATTTGTGCTTTGGTATTCAGTGAACTCTTGGCAAGGATTTTCTGCCTCAGGCTGGTTGTAGAAGCGTTTTCCCTGCAAAAAGTTGTAAAGCTGCTTAATGAAGTGCTAGTTGGTTGACAAGAGGTCAGATGAATATGGTGAATGAGGCAAAACTTCATAGCCCAATTTGTTCAACTTTTGAAGCATTGATTGTGCAACATGTGGTCCAGCATTGTGGAGAAGAACTGGGCCCGTTCTGTTGACTAATGCTGACTGCAGGCATTGCAGTTTTCGGTGCATCTCATCAATTTGCTGAGTATACTTCTCAGATATAACGGTTTCACTGGGATTCAAAAAGTTGTAGTGGATCAGACAGGCAGCAGACCACCGAACAGTGACCATGACCTTTTTTTTGTGCAAGTTTGGCTTTGGGAAGTGCTTTGGAGCTTCTTCCTCGGTCCAGCCACTGAGCTGGTTATCATATAAAATCCACTTTTCATCGCATGTCACAATCTGATTGAGAAATGGTTTGTTGTTGAGTAGAATAAGAGAAGACAACAGTTCAAAATGATGATTTTTTTTTATTTGCGGTCAGCTCACTTATTGAACCTTGTCACCTTCCCAACTTGCTTCAAACGCCGAATGACCATAGAATGGTCAACATTGAGTTCCTTGACAGCTTCTCACGTAGTTAGTTGCTAGAGCATCAGCTTTGGTGATGCTTTCAGTCTGTCAGTGTCAACTTCCGATGGCCGGCCACTATGCTCCTCATCTTCAAGGCTGCCTTCTTTGCAAAACGTCTTGAAACCACCACTGCACTGTATGTTTATTAGCAGTTCCTGGGCCAAATGTGTTGATGTTGCAAGTTGTCTCTGCTGCTTTACAATCCATTTTGAACTCAAGTAAAAAAATTGCTTTAATTTGAGTTTTGCCTAACATCATTTCTGTAGTCCAAAATAGCAAGTTTGATGCATGAAGCAGGGCACTCAAAGCTGGTGCTCTGAGTAGGGGGATTCAGGATGGGGGGACACATGTGCACCTGTGGGTGATTCATGTTGATGTATGGCAAAAACCACCACAATAGTGCAAAGAAATTATCCTCTAATTAAAATAAATTAATTTTAAGAAAAGAGCAAATAGGAACAGAGAAGGAAACTATTGCTCTTCATTATAAATAAATAAATAAACAGCAAGTAATGCCATTAGCGGGGCTTTCCTGGGGCACTAGTGGTAAAGAACCTATCTGTCAATGCAGGAGACATAAGAGATTCAGGTTCGATCCCTGGGTTGGAAATATCCCCTCCAGTATTTTTGCCTGGAGAATCCCAAGGACAGAGGAGCCTGGTGGACTATTGTCCATAGGGTTCCAAAGAGTCAGACACAACTGTAGCGACTTAGCACACACAATGTCATTAGCGAAAACACATAAAGTGAGAAATGTGCATTAAAATAATATATAACATAACCACATTTATTTAAGAATGTATTCCAATATCAAACAGCAAATTTCAACAGTGCAAAACCGTAATTACTTTTGCACCAACATAAATTCAAGAATGCAGCTTACCTGGTAGGAGAAAATTTTTTTGCTGCAAGAGAAAGAGAACTATTATTTTGGGCTAAATGACTTTCAAGGACATTTTAAATCCTGAAACAGTATGACTCTATTTATCAGGGATTTTGCAAAGTCAAGGCCTTCAAGGCCCCTATAATTATCAGAACACAAACATATCAGACAACAGGGCAGGGTAAATGCAAAGTGTACATTCATGCAAAGGGCACGGCAGCTTCCTAAGGCAAGCAGATAGCCCATAGGCTCCACCTGCCAAGTTTGTCCATCTTCCAGTTGGTCATGAGAAATCTCAAATCTGATTTGACATGAAATTTCCTATTTTGTAAGTGTCAGAATTTAGTTCAAAAGAATTTAAAGACTCTGTAGGCCAAACAGATCAGGAGTGTGGCTAGATGTGTCTCCATATTCTTTGTGTGTGCTTAGTCGATCCATCGTGTCCAACTCTTTGTGACTCTGTGGACTGTAGCCCACCAGGCTCCTCTATCTATGATTTTTTCCTGGCAAGAATACTGCATATTTCCTGAGATGCTCCTAAATTTAAGCCTGTATTCCAAATGCAATTTTTGGAAACATTTTCTTCATTTTCCCAGGACCACAAATTACGGCAGCCTCGGTGTAGAAACTCCTCAGACCATAGCGTTCAAAGTGAATAGCATCCCCTGGAGCTGTACAATGTTAGCATACTAACATTTGCATTAAAACTCTTTCCCTAAGATTTCTGCTTATTTATCCTGCAGTTTACTCATGTTTGTCATTAAATGACTAGTGATTTGCTTCTAATTACTTTGTAAATCTGTGAGAGACAACATGACTCATCAATGAGAAAAAAAATTTTTTTTTCAAAAACCTTTTCGAAGTACATTCATAAATGTCCTCACCTTTCTTCCGAAGGCGTTTCAGAAGCCAGAAGAAAAATGATGGTATTGTCACAAGGGAGACTCCAGCAGTAGAAAGTCCAACTGCCAAGGGAGTTTGGGACACAGTGGGAGCTAAGAAACAGAGGGTGAACAGTCATGAGAAGGAATTAAATTTTAATCTTCCCGTTCTGTCCATTTGCCCTTTTCTTTGTACACTGGTTATAATGTGCAAAGCAGAAGAGTCATCTAGTCCAATACATGAGGCAGAGACACGGCACTAAAGGCCTTTGAGATCAGCCCAAACCTCTTTGTGAGCTTACCTCCAGCACGGGAAGGCAGAGCTCTAACTTGCCAAGCTCTTACAGCATACTTTGGTTAACCTCTGTCTCTCTTTCTCTTTTTCACTCATTTTCCTTTCCCCTCCCACTTTTCCCATAGCTCTCCTTTCTCCAATTATCTAAATTCCATCAACATGTCACTCCTGTTTTCCCTCTTCCCCATAAAATGAAATATCCACCCATTAAATGTTAACCTGGGTAACCTTTCTGACCTTCCTGGTTTGGATATACCGGATAGTTCATTACTGTAGCCAGATAGCTTCCTTTCTAAGCTCCCTTTCTTCTCTCTGATTCCCCCGCCCCAGACAGCCAGCATCACTCAGCACTTCACCTTCACAGGTTGGCAGCATCCCAGACCAGTGTCCTGTGGCACCGCAGGTCAGCACTATAGAGCCGTTGAGCGTCCATCTTTCAGGACATGCAAACCTACACTCAGTGCCAAGCACGGGCTCCCCACTGCAGCTCATGTTGAGCTTTCCAGAAACGTCCAAATGTGAACATCGTACCACTGAAAATGATAGGATATGGGTAGCAGTTAAGAAAAATCTACTGGAAGACTTCTAAAACTGACAGAAAGTCACCAATAAATCTAAGTACTACATAGTTTTCAGTATGGAGGAAATTAGAATCGAGTCCTTTGGGGAAATCTGCAAAGCAGATAAATTTTATGTGGCTGCCTCTTCATTGGGTTTCCCTAGTGACTCAGTTGGTAAAGAAACTGCCCTTAGTGCAGGAGACCCAGGTTCGATCCCCAGGTCAGGAAGATCCTCTGGAGAAGGAAAAAGCAACCCACTCCAGTACTCTTGCCTGGAGAATTCCGTGGACAGAGGAGCAGGGCAGGCTGCAGTCCATGGGATTGCAAAGAGTCAGACACGACTCTGCCTCTTCATTAGTCCCCGGACAAATGGGAAGACGGCTGTGTTTTCTTTGAATTTCAGTCCCGCTGTTGACAATGGTACTAGACAGCCTTTTACAGGACCAATACTCCTGTTCTGACCTGTGATGAAGTTAGGGTCAGGAGAAAGATTTTAGGTAGTCAGGGAGCAACTTATGAGTCTTGAGTACTTAGAGATGAGGCCAAAAAGAAAGGAAGATAAGCAGGCAGCCACATCAAATTTATCTGCTTTACAGTTTGGTTTTTGTCTTGTGGTTTTCTGCCACTAGAAATAACTCTGTGCTGTATTTGGCTACAAAAATGTTAGCACCTGATAGTGAAACCTGCTTGTTTTCAACATCCTTGCTCTTGCTTTATTAAACTAAATTTTAGTGCTTATGTATGTTTTAAGGGTGTCTCTAACTGAGACCATACTAGAAACATTTTCATCACTGCTAGTTATAAGCAGTTTCAGAAGAAGGGCATGATAAGAGTTTTAGAGTCAGATCATAAGGAGAAGTGGGTGGCAGAGGATGAGTTGGTTAGATAGCATCACCAACTCAATGGACATGAATTTGAGCAAACTCCGGGAGATAGTGAAGGACAGGGAAGCCTGGAGTGCTGCACTCCATGGGATCTCAAAGAGTCAGACCCGACTTAGCAACTGAACAGCAACAGCAACAACATGTTCTCATAATTCTATTTTGTAAATTTTCTAATGTGATTTCCCTTTAGATTAAGATTTCTGCTTACTTGATGCCAATGTTTATAAAGTTGTATATATTTATATATTTGAGTGTGTGCTCAGTTGTGTCAGATTCTTTGCGATCCTATGGACTGTAGCCCCCTGGTGACTCAGCAACAAAGAATCCGCCTGCCAGGGCCAGAACCCAGGAGACGTGGGTTCAATCCCTAGGTTGGGAAGATCCCCAGGAGGAGGGCAACCCACCCCAGTATTATTGCCTGGGAAATACCATGGACAGAAGAGCCTGGCAGGCTATAGTCCATGGGGTTGCAAAGTTATGTTAGTCCAGGACAATTAAGAAGCCAGCAAAGCATTCACTCTTATTCCACACAGTCCTTTCCCTGGACAAGCATCTGTTCTTTTATATGCATCTCAAAAACATAAAATGATTGTTGCCCATCAGATCTGATTATTATAGTTAATAATGTAGGCATCTGGTTTCATTTTAAGTGCCCATGTTCGCAGACTGCTGTTCTTTGAGAAAGGAGACTCTCAGGCTTACCTTCACAAACCGGGACCTGCTGTGTCCATTGTCCCTGGGCAGTGCATTCAACCTGGGGTGGCCCCTGCAACACGAAGCCCTCTGTGCAATCGAAGTGGCAGGATGACTTGAAAGCGAACTCTCCAGCCGAGGAGTGGCTACAGTTCACAGTGCCATTCTGAGGATGGCTGATGGCTGCACATGTCACAGCTGCAACACATGTCCCAGTTTATATTAGCAGGTCAGGCTTGCCCATTTGGAGAAAATGTTGAGATGTTACAGTAAATCTTGATGTGGAACCACCTTACCTTTACATGTTGGCTGCTTGTTGTCCCAAATCCCAGAGGAGGTACACTGTAGGTGCTGGGGTCCAGTGAGTTTATATCCTTCCTGACACTCAAACGTACAGGTGGTATTCCATGGGAGGCTTCCATGGTTTTGGGAACAGTTTACAACTCCATTGTCCGGATTTGACAAAGCATCACACTTAACCACTAGGGATTTGAAAAAACACCATGAAATTTTACAGAGGAGTGAGATATTCACTTCTTATTGAACTGGAGTTTATAACACAGTAAGGAAACTACCTCCAGAGGGTAGAACTCGAAGCCCGAGGTTAACTTCTGGGTACAAGCACACCCACAATAAAGTTGTTATGTTTTTTCCTTGATATTTTTATTCTCTCTGATTGACTTTGACTATGCTAAGTGGTTCCTGATCATTTTACCTGGCTTATTTTACAAAAGGCAAAAACAAAGAAAAATAGCAGATTCTAGATCAGGATTTATGACTAGTTGTGATTCAAAAAAAACAAATCCCAGCATGCACAGAACATTCATTTATTTTAGCCCAGCAAGACCTGGAGGATGGAGAAGGAAATGGCAACCCACTCCAGTATTCTTGCCTGGGAGATCCCACAGACAGAGAAGCTACAGTCCATGGGATCACAAAAGAGTCGGACATGACTTGGCGCCTAAACAATAAGACCTAGAGGAAAGAGTTTTTCTGTCTTTGGCTTAGAAAGATAAGACAGAGAGAAAAGGATATATTGAGGTTGTTTGGTGATCATGATCTTCCATGGTCCAGTTGCATGGATGAAATTAAACAGAGAAAGGAGAGAGGAAGTCATTCAGATTTTGAGAGGGCAGTTCCACAGTTCTGTGTTCCCTTACATATCAGAAGAGCCTCAGAAACACTCATGTCAAATACAGGATCAAAACTTTTCTCAAGGCCAGCTGATACCATATTGGCCCTATCTACACTGGCTGAGAGAACAAGTTGAATTAGAACTTGTTTAATTAGAACAAGTTTAGAAGGAACTTTCCCTGAAGTGCTGAAAATGGCATAAGTTGGATAAAAACCAATGGGATGAGAGATAGATTGGAGAATGTTCTGTGCTTTCTGAGAGAGACTTACCATTGCAGGTTGGGAGAGGAGCACTCCATTCTCCAGAGGACGTGCACCGCATGGCCTCCGTGCTGCTCGGGAGGTAGCCCTCTGCACAGCTGACGGAGCAGGAAGAGTTGTAGATGAATTTCCCCAAAGGGTTGCAAACCAGATGTCCATGCTCAGGATGCTTCTGTGCCTGACAGGTCACAACTGAAAAAGGAAAACAAATCAGTTCTGCTCCTCTCTCACCCTGTCACACATGGGAAGAACCCTGGAAGCCAGAACTATCAGTCAGTCAGTTCAGTCACTCAGTCGTGTCCAACTCTTTGCGACCCCATGAACCGCAGCACACCAGGCCTCCCTGTCCGTCACCAACTCCCGAAGTCCACCCAAACCCATGTCCATTGTGTTGGTGATGCCATCCAGCCATCTCATCCTCCATCATCCCCTTCTCCTCCTGCCCTCTATCTTTCCCCGCATCGGGGTATTTTTCAAATGAGTCAGCTCTTCGCATCAGGTGGCCAAAGTATTGGAGCTTCAGATTTTAGCATCAGTCCTACCAATGATCACCCAGGACTGATATCCTTTAGGATGGACTGATTGGATCTCCTTGCAGTCCAAGGGACTCTACTATTTATCAAATGTCAGGCACCAGGCTTCCCAGGTGGCACTAGTGGTAAAGAACCTGCTTGCCAGTGCAGGAGACAAAAGAGACATGGGTTCGATCCCTAGGTTGGGAAGATCCCCTGGAGGAAGGCACAGCAACCCATTCCAGTATTCTTGCCTGGAGAATCCCATGGACAGAGGAACCTGGTGGGCTCCAGTCCATGGAGTCGCAGTGAGTCGTACATGACTGAAGCGACTTAGCAAAGAACAGGCACTATGAAAATGTCGTGTCTGCATTTGTTCACATCATCCAAACCACAAGCCTATGAAATTGATACTCTATTGTCCTTGTTTTACAGTGAGAACCCAGGACTTGAGAGTTTACCTCTGTTGTCAAGGTGCCGTAACTACTAAGTGGTAGATCTGGGATTCAAACACAGGAGGGTCTGATTTCACAGCTTCAGCTCTTAACCTCCTTCTGACTCCATATGCTCCAGGGAAGGGAAAGCATACAGACCTGACACCAAAACCAGCTAGGACATAAAATGCTCCTACAATCTCGGGCAAAGGAAAAGTTGAGACCAAGCCTTACCTTGCTCACATTTGAGGCCCTTGAAGCCAGGGTGGCACTGGCAAGTGTAGTTGTTAATGGTCTCTACACATTCACCATGGCTGCTGCAGGGTGTGGGGGTACAGGCAGCTGTGGAAAAGACAATCCGTGATGACTATTGTTGTTATACTTCAACTGAGTTTCTTTGAATTTAGGATCAAAGATATGTAACAGGGATGTCACCAATGATACAGAGTGTCAGAGAGTTTAATGGAGGTGCTTGATGAAATGCCCAAGCTGAGTTTTAAGCTCAAAAATTTCAAACCCTGATGTTAATATCAGAGGTAGAACTGTAACTGGCACCAAAATAGAAAATTCACTTTATCAAAAATTTAAAGAGAATTCTCCTACTGCAAATAAATAAAAGGTAACTAAAAAGTATATTACATGTGTGCATGCACACTGTATTAAGTATATGGTGGTTTAGTTGCTAACTCATGTCTGACTCTTTGCGACGCCATGGACTATAGCCTGCCAGGCTCCTCTGTCCATGGGATTCTCTAGGCAAGAATACTCGAATGGGTTGCTATTTCCTCCTCCAGGGGATCTTCCGCACCCAGGGATTGAACCTGAGTCTCCTGCATTGCAGGTGGTTTCTTTATGACCCAACTGAGTCACTGGGGAAGCCTATATTTATGTATCTATATGTATGTACGTCTATACTTATATATGGCTTCCCTGGTGGCTTAGTAGGTAAAGAATCTGCCTGCAATGCAGGAGGCTCAGGTTCAATCCCTGGATGGGGAAGACCCCCGGAGAGGGAAATGGCAACCCACTCTAGTATTCTTGTCTGGGAAATCCCATGAACAGAGAAGCCTCGTGGGCTACAGTCCATGGGGTCACAAGAGTCAGACACAACTTAGCAACTAAATCACCACCATACATAAACACATACATTCTTAACTACATTCACACAAAGAAGCAAAAAGAGGCAAGTTTCAGGTGTTTAAATATTTCAAATACATTGTTTGAAAACTGTATCTTTTTGGAACATAAAATCCACACGATAGAGACCAGTTTTTGTATACAGTCAACAATCTGTCAAGATGCTCACACACAAGATCTACCTCCCACTGCTGCTGCAGACTCCTTACCTTTATAACACAAGGCGAGCTTCCTTTTGGTGCATCTCTCATCATTCCACTTGCCTGAGTCCTTTTCTCTCTTAATGTAGATCTCTACACAGTCCTCATCACTTTGCTTATTGTTTGGTTCACCTGGAGCCCAGTTTGTGGCTTCTTTGGTCAAAGACTTATTGGTCCCTATCCAGGTCCATATATCGTTGATCTTTCTGATTCCAATCCAGTAGTAACTTGGTGAATGGCTGAATGTGGAGTTCAGGTATTTAATCTCTTCCTGGTTTTGAATTGCAACTAGAGCTGTGTAAGTTTTCTGGCAATAATCTCTGGCCTCCTCAAAAGTCATGTTTTCCTTGGATGCATGGTAAGACCAGGTTCTACTTTCTTTAAACAGCAGAAGCACTAAGGGGGGAAACATGAAAGGAATGGGAAAGTTTAGCCCTGCTGTGGTTTGACTCTGTTAGCTGAATCTTTTGTTGTCATATTTTTGGCTTCTAGTGGCCATGGTGTGTGTGCCTGCTCAGTCGCTTCAGTCATGTCTGACTCTCTGCGGCCCCGTGGACCATAGCCCGCCAGTCTCCTCTGTCCATGAGATTCTCCAGGCAAGAATACTGGAGTGGGTGGCCATGCGCTTCTCCAGGGGATCTTCCTGACCCAGGGATTGAACCCAGGTCTCCTGCAGCTCCTGCATTGCAGGTGGATTCTTTACTGCTGAGCCACCAGAGAAGCCCCCTGAAAGCCCCCAAAGGATGCTCCTTTGGGATGATTCAATTTTTTTTCCAAAGTAAGAATTTTTTGGAAAATGTTTTTCCAAAGTAAGAATGGGCACGAATGGAGAAACTACCATTTACTGTGTTTCTCTCTTGTAATTGACCTTCCACTTAGTAAGCTACCATTTACTGTGTTTCTCTTTTGTAATTGACCTTCCACTTCCAATTCACCCACTATAACCTATCAATACACCTACCTAATAGTAGAATAAAAATCAGAATATCTAAGCTTTTTTGAGCACTAAATATGCACCACCAAGCACTGTCTGAGGCACTTTACATGAACCATGATACTGAACCCTCCAAAGGCCTCTGGGAAATAGATTATTTACGACCATTCTTTATACCTAAGGGAGCTGAGACACAAAGAGGTAAACGGCTCCTAGCCGAGGGCACAACACATTATGAGGAGGAACCCAGGATGCTGCTAAACAACCTACATTACACTTGGCAGCCGCCTACAAGGAAAACTTATCTGGTCCAAAATGCCAGTAGTGCTAAGGATAAGAAACGTTAGTCTATCAACTGACATTGACTTACCGAAAGTGAGAGCAGAGAGATACTGTGAAGCAATCATAACTTCAAGAGTTCTTTTGATCCAAAGATTAGACTTGAAAATGCTTTTCTGGGGGCGAAAGTACAAAATTAATTATAGGATGAGCTCCCAGGCTACGAGATACCCAGATCATTCTACAATGATGTGTAGAGCAGCATCATAAGATGTTTAAAGGATTATAATCTTTTGCCAGAAGGTTTATTTCAAAGAAGTTCGCCCAAAGGAATAAATACAGAAGTTAAGATTTTCATCATTTCAGTCAAAAAGAAAAGCCAGGTTTAAGTAGTCTGAATACAATAAGAGCTTGCACAGATCTTCTGTGGAAGGCTTTTTGCAAATCTGTTCATATTCATGATCTGTGCTTCATGGTCAAGACTGTTCTTGTGAAGATTTCTTGCACTTACTGTTCGGTGAAGTGGTTGTTTCAGTAGCAGATTCCTCCGTGCTTCTGCTCCTTCTCTTTTGTGCCACTCCTGCAGGTTTGATGTGAGGTCTGCCAAGAACAGTGGAGCTCTGCTTCTGCTGGAACCATCCTTTATAGGATAGGGTGCTTCCTGTGAGTAATACAGATGTGTCCAAACCCAGTAAAGAGGAATTCCCAGCAATTCCAAAGTGCTAAAAATGACAATGATGTCAAAATGAAGTCCCCTTTTTATTTTAGATGAATTCTATTAATATGACACAGATGCACAGTTTTAATTCTATTAACATAAAATCTATGTCTTTAGATAAAGTTTTAAAATGTGGCTCATTAGCGATCCTTTTCCTGAAATTGTGGTAGTAATCAGAATTTTATCAACTGAAGTGAACTAAGAATAATGTTGTCATCTATGGGCTATTACTCTTGATTTTCTTACTGCATACCAGTCATTAATGGGTCATCACTCACTTTTTTTTCCTCTTTCTCACCTGCCAACTCAACTCATTTTAAGGTACACTGTCTCACAGAGGTCATGTTAATCACGAAATAAATGTTAATCCTCAGATTCTATGCATAGTTTTGACTAAATTACTAGAAATATTATCTCCCACTTACATGTCTGAAATAATTCCTTGTTTCTTAAATATAACAAAAATGAGAAACAGACTTAGATATTCCATCTGGAAGGTGTTCGTGATTTGTTCAGTGAGAAAATAAAGATGAAAACTATACATATTTGTATTTAATTGAACCAAATTTGGTTTTAAAAAAATTTAAATGTGAATTGCAAAAAAAAAAAAAAATTTTTTTAATGTATCAAAATGTCAACAGTAGATTTCTAGAGGGCAGGATTTAGGGGTTATTTTTATAAGTTTCATGATTATTTTCAGCATTTTCCAGTTTTTGCAATGACCCTCTATAACTTTTATAGTAAAATGAACACAGTTTAAAGAATTCTGTGTCAAATATAACTATATATATAGTTATCACCTTCATATATGTATGTATAATATCACTGATTCCTACTCTTTATATTGGCATTTCTTTTGGGGGATTATATACAATACAATCACCATTCCCCATCTCTGCATCCCATCTAATTCAAATGGTAGAGACAGTAAATGGGAATCTTTTAATTTCCATATTCTGTAGAGATCAAGTAAAGCTAAATTCTACAGTTAAACAACTTTAAAAAATAGGACACCTAACAATGTACTCTCAGCAGACATGAAGTAGTAGTGAGGGGTTGAGGGGGACATAACAGGTTTATTTTTCTCCTTACTTGTTAGTGCCCTGGTTCTTTCTGTGTACATAAAGACCTAAACCAAATAGGAAAAGAGAAGAAAAATTCCAATAAATACAACTGACTTAAAAAGTAAATGAATAACCCAGTTAGCTAATTTAACTCCTAAATATGCCCAACTTTTAACAGAAAATATATACCATCCACCCTCCCACTGTCCTATGTTTTCCAGATGTTAGCATTATTTTAACTTTTTATCAAACTTTACTTTTGTAAATGTGGTTGTTGTTGCTCAGTAAATGTGGAAAGTAATCAGTCACAAGTGTTTGCTTAGATTTTAGAGTAAGATGTGAAGCTGGGTTAATATTAATGTTATTAATCTATATGTATGTTAATTTTTAATAAGTTGTGAACACATGATTTGTCATTTTAAAATGTGTACTGTAGGCAGATCTTTATCTGACACAATAATAAAGTACCTAATAATTATTTTGAAAATAGAAATTAGTCATAACAGCCTGAGATAACTACATTTACTATTATGATTTTTCATAACTAAATTAAGTTTGTCTTTTTCCTTTCTCATTAGTTCACAAATATCTAAAAATACCTCCAATGGTGGTACAGTCCCTATTTCATGTACTATATATGTCCTGGACTCCCCAGTTATCATCTGTAGCATGTATGGAACCTTCACCATGTGCCAGGCCCATGTTCTGTTTTTTACATATTCATCTACATAATTATTTAATTCTTACAATAGCCTATGAAATAGGCACTCTTATGATCCCCATAATACAGATGAGGAAATTGAGGAACCAAGGATTTTACAGGTCTCAACTAAAAGCACAGAGCTAAGGAGTTGAAACCTGGGCAGTCAGTCTCCAGAGCCAGCTTCGTTAACTGCTCTATTCCAGTCTGTGGTTTCTTTTGTTATTTTGCCCCACAACGAGCCTCCCTATTCTTCCCAAGTTTCCAGTCTTCCCCTTGCCCTCTTCTTCCCAAGTCTCCAATCTCTTTCTTCTTCCCAAGAGCAGTGTGATAGCCCCAGCTCTCCCTCAGAGTGGCTGTGTCCTGAGTTCAGAGACACGAAGGCAGGAAGGGAACTAGGGAGCAGTGAGCAGTAGACAGAAGATACAGTGAAAGTAGACTCTAGGTTCTCAGCTGTGGGGGGAAAGTGGATGAAGAAAAAGCAAGGCAGGCTGAGCTACACCAGGAGAAGTTTCGATCCCTGTGTCACACTTTCCAGGAGATCCTGATTTTAAAGCAGATTCTCTCTATGGCTAAAGGGTGCAGGGACGTACCCTAATACCAAATAAGAAGGATATGAAAAATAAGGAATAGAAGTGATTGTGAGTAAAGGTAACTTATTATTATTGTTATTACCACCAGAAGTATAATATTCCAAACTCACTCACCCTTACAGTTATCCTGCATTCTCCCAGAATATTTTCCACTTGCGTGTCATCTGAGGTTGGGACCACAAATCAAGTACCTGGCCACTAAGAGTGGGGGGGACTTTCTCCTGGCTGTAGAGTTGCTGAAAGAGGCCGTAGACAGACCTCATTTGCCTCTCACAGAGAGATGCCAGCACTATGAGGGCCAGGAGTGGGTTGACAGCTGGACTATAGCTTCTTCACCTGCTTTTTTTGTATCAGAATCTGATGAAGGGCACCCTCACTTGGAGGATCGAAGAATGAGTTGAAGAGGAAGTCAGGTGAGCACTGAATAGCTGGGGGTGTTGAATATTATTTCCCCTTCCCCAAATGAACCTAATGCCCCCACATAGCAGGCCGATTAGAGGTGCCTCAAGGCCACATGGAATCTCCCAAGCTCAGAAGATGCAGCTGGTTATCCCTGGATAGCTCCATTTTCAACCCTGGCCTCATATGGACACACCCTTAGAATCTCCAACTTGGGGAGGCAAGGAGAAAAGGAAAGAAGATGATCCAAACACAGGCACACCTCGGGCTCCGTCCACCACCAGGGCTATTTTGTCTGAGGTGCCGCCCTTCCTGGCGTCATCATCACTTTCCTGAAAGTGCCTGTCTGGCCTCTCCACATCCTGTAATGGGGCATCAAGGACTTTAAACACTTTTTCTGCTGCCCACGCAGGCAAACTCATTCTCATCTTTATGGTGAAGGGACATCCCTGAGGAAGTGAGGGAGAGCCGGAAGAGGATGTCAAGGTTCCCAAGGCAAATGTTAAGTTTTACTCAAGGCAATCCAGTTCATCTTCCATAGCAAAGGACAATAAAAGCTACAGACAATATTGTAAAGTAATTAGCCTCCAACTAATAAAAATAAATGGGAAAAAAAAAGAATAATTTTGAAGAAAAAAAAATAAAAGCTATGGACAGGAGATTATTGGGTTGAATGGGAAGTAGCATGGGTCGTAAGTACATTTAGCTTTGGTTCCTCAGTTCCCTCAGCTGAAAGGAACTAAGATGCATGGGCAGTGGCCTTCCTGAGGTTCTGGGTTCCCTCACCTCTGGGCAGTGTTTCGAGGTGCTTCTTTTTGAAAGCCTTGGTAACTTGCCCCCAAATTTGACTCCACTAACATCTGAAGTACTTCTGTAGAGTCTAAGGTAGGGAGTGTGTGCGTGCTAAGTTGCTTCAGTTGTGTCAAATTCTTTGTGACCCTTTGGACTATAGCTCACCAGGCTTCCCTATTCTTGGGATTCTCCAGGCAAGAATACTGGAGTGGGTTTCCATGCCCTCCTCCAAGGGATCTTCCCGACACAGGGGTTGAACCTGGGTTTGATGTCTCCTGCTTTGGCAGGCAAGTTCTTTACCACTAGTGCCACCTGGGAAGCCCAAGGTAGGGAGGGGAAATCCTAATAAAGATTCCATCCAACTTGGAGTATACAAATATGGTATTTCTTACACACTCAAAATTGTGAAGTAAAATTAATCAACAATGCGCCATCATGGTGTAGAATGGCATTTCTTGCATGATTGAAACATGAGTATATTTGATAGAAAATGAGTCTGGTTCCCTCTAAATTCATTCTGCAGAAGGGCATGTTCACTTTTTTAGGATGTGTAGCCTTCTCAAAACACCTGGGTCAGGTAGGAGCCTTGGGCTCTCAGTCTGCACTCCCAATCCTAGGGAGAAGTGGCGTTTTCAGACTTCTCTCATATGAAGAAGACTCACCTGAGCAGCTCATTTAAAATGTGTATGTGGGGTTTCCCTGGTGGGTCAGTGGTAAAGATCTCTCCTGCCAATGCAAGAGACAGGGGTCTGGTCCCTGCTCTGGGAAGGTCCCACGTGCCCATGAGCAGCTGAGCCTGTGCACCGCAACTACCAGGGTTGTGCTCTAGTACCTGGGAGCTGATCGTGTTGAGCCCACATGCCGCAACTACCGAAGCCTGCACACCCTGAGCCTGCACACAAGAGAAATCACCTCAGTGAGAAGCCAATGAACCATAACCAGAGAGTAGCCTCCACTCATCACAGCTAGAGAAAGACTGAATGCAGCAATGAAGACCCAGTGCAACCAAAAAAACCAAACTAATGTCTTTTAAAAAATAAAATGTGTATCTTGGGCTTCCCTGGTGGTCCAGTGGTTAAAAGTCTGCCTTGCAATACAGGAGACATGGGTTCAATCCCTAGACCGGGAAGACCCCACATGCCATGGAGCAACTAAGCTTGTGCACCGCAACTATTGAAGCCTGCAACCCTAGCACCCAGAGCTCGTGCTCTGCAACAAGAGAAATAGTGAGAAGCCCATACACTGAAACTAGAGAGCAGCCTCCACTCACCGCAACTAGAGAAAGCCCAAGTGTAGCAATGAACACCCAGGGCAACCAAAAAATAAATAAGCAAAATAAAATAAAGTGCATTGTCTTCAAGCCCAACACTTAGAGACTTTGACTCAGTAGATCTAGGGTGGGACCAAGAATCTGTAATTTAAATGAATATTCAGGTGATGCTGATACAAATGCCCCAGTTCTACCACACTTTGAGATATGTTGGTCCAGGGTCACCTAATTTGGGAAAGAATACCAAGAAGACTCTGTGGCTGGTGCTCAGCTCTCAGTAAAATTTTGACCCAAATGTCAGTACAGTTACTAACACCCTTTCTACTGGAAGACTAGAGGCACTCTTGGTAACAGTGCTGGGCAAATAAAGAAAATAATTAGATTGAGTTGTTGTTTTGATTTCTCATACATGGAAAGTAATTTTTTGAAATTTTTAATTGGAGTATAACTGCATTATAATGTTGTGTTGGTTTTTGCCATACAACAGCATTAATCAGCCATGCGTATACATATGTCCCCTCTCTCTTGAACCTCCCTCCTACCCGCACCCCATCCCACCCCTCTAGACTGTCACAGAGCACAGGGTTGAGCTCTCTGCATCCTATAGCAACTTCCCACTAGCTATCTATTTTACATATGGTAATATACATGCTTGCACGCTACTCTCTCAATTCATGCCACCCTCTCTTTCCCCTGCTGTGTCTACAAGTCTGTTCTCTATGTCTGCTTCTCTATTCCTCCCCTACAAATAAACCAATTAGGAGTAAACCTACCTAAGGAGACAAAAAAAACCCTGTATACAGAAAATTATAAGACACTCATGAAACAAATCAAAGATGACACAAACAAATGGAGAGATATATCATGTTCTTGGGTTGGAAGAATCAATATTGTGAAAATGACTATACTACCCAAAGGTATGTACAGATTCAGTGCAATCCCTATCAAATTACCAATGGAATTTTTCAGAGAACTTGAACAAAATATTTCACAATTTGCATGGAAACACAAAAGACCCCAAATAGCCAAGGCAATACTGAGAAAGAAAAATGGAGCTGGAGGAATCAACCTTACTGACTTCAAACTATACTACAAAGCTATAGTCATCAAGACAGTGTGTTACTAGCACAAAAACAGAAATATTGACCAACAAAACCAAGAGATAAACCCATGCACCTATGGGCACCTTATCTTTGACAAAGGAGGCAAGAGTATACAATGGAGAATAGACAGTCCCTTCAGTAAGTGGTCCTGGGAAAACTGGACAGCTATGTATAAAAGAATGAAATTGAACACTTCCTAACACCATACACAAAAATAAAATCAAAATGGAATAAAGACCTAAATGTAAGGCCAGAAACTATAAAACTCTTAGAGGAAAACATAGGCAGAACACTCTGACATAAATCACAGCAAGATCTTCTAGGACCCATCTCCTAGAGTAATGGAAATAAAAATAAACAAATGGGACCTAATTAAATTTAAAAGCTTTTGCACAGCAAAGGAAACCATAAACAAGATGAAAAAACAACCCACAGAATGGAGGAAAATAATTGCAAGTGAAGAAACTGACAAAGGATTAATCTCCAGAATATGTAAGCAGCTCATGCAGTTCAGTATTAGGAAAACAAACTGCCCCATCAAAAAATGGGCAGAAGACCTATACAGACATTTCTCCAAAGAAGTATATGGTTTTTAACCAAAGAAAGCAAGTTGCTTTAAAGAAGTACCATAAGTATGTATATGTTTATTCTCCTTTCTGCTCTGATTCAAGAGTGAAGTGAAGTCACTCAGTCGTGTCCAACTCTTTGTGACCCCGTGGACTGTAGCCCACCAGGCTCCTCCATCCATGGGATTCTCCAGGCAAGAATACTGGGGTGGGTTGCCATTTCCTTCTCCAGCGGATCTTCCAGACCCAGGGATCAAACCCAGGTCTCCCGCATTGCAGGCAGATGCTTTAACCTCTGAGCCACCTCCATAATTCCACTAATTTCCCTTTTTAAACTTCTGACATGATTCTGAGATTTCAATTCTAATGTGTTTCCTTGCTTCCTGCTTGGCAGCACCTTATCTTGTTATTGTTCAGTAGCTAAGTCATGTCTGACTCTTTGCAGCCCCATGAACTGCAGCACACCATGCCCTTCACTATCTCCTGGAGTTTGCTCAAACTCATGTCTGTTAAGTCAGTGATGCCATCCAACCATCTCATCCTCTGTCGTCCCCTTCTCCTTCTGCCCTCAATCTTTCCCAGCAACAGGGTCTTTTCCAGTGAGTCAGTTCTTCGCATTAGGTGACCAAAGTATTGGAGTTTCAACTTCAGCATTAGTCCTTCCAATTTAGGGTTGACTTCCTTTAGGATTGACTGGTTTGATCTCCTTGCAGTCCAAGGGACTCTCAAGAGTCTTCTCCAGCACCACAATTCGAAAGCATCTGTTCTTAGCACTCAGCCTACGTTATGGTCCAACTCTCACATACATGACTACTGAAAAAAAACATAGCTTTAACTATGTGAACCCTTGTCTCCAAAGTGATGTCTCATACACTGTCTAGGTTTGTCATAGCTTTCCTTCCAAGGAACAAGCGTCTTTTAATTTCATGGCTGCAGTCACCATTGGCAGGGGTTTGGGAGCCCAAATAAGCAAAATTGGTCACTGCTTCCCTTTCTATTTTCCATGGATGGGACTGGATGCCATGAACTTAGTTTCTTGAATGTTGAGTTTTAAGCCAGCTTTTTCACTCTCCTCTTTCACCCTCATCAAGAGGTTCTTAAGTTCCTCTTCTTATTCTTCCATTAGAGTGGTATCATCTGCATATCTGAGGTTGTTTATAGTTCTCCCAGCAAGCTTGAAGCTCCATTTTCTGTTTTGGAATCTAAGAAATAACTAGCGGGAATATCTTCAAAATGAGCCAAGCCCAGTGAGTTCCCAAAGAAGAAGAAATAAGGGCAGATGGGCTGATAGATTGACGGAATCCTTCCTAAATGTAGCCAGACTGTTTGCCGTCTGTCATTAACAAAGAAGGGAAAATCCCCCTGGATTTTAGAAAACTTTCTTTGCTTGTTTTCCTTGGCCATTGTGCTGCTTGTTTTGTAATCAGGAATTTCCTAAGTGATTATTATTAGCTTTGCTCTCAGAGCCCTACATCAGGAGAAAAACCTGGCCTCGTCACTTTTGGAATAAAAAGATCTACTCTGTTTCCCTTGTATGTTGTTGTAATTTTTGAGCATGTAAACGTATTATCAAAAAAAAAAAATGCTGTTTTACACCAATACTGTGACTTGGAGCAAGCTTCTTGTCCTAT